GTGAGCCATGGCGCCGGCTCTAAGATTGATTTTTATGAACAGATGCTATGAATGTTCTTTCCTTCTACTCTTTATATTCAGAAAGAAACAGAACTTGTAGCATTGAAAATCTGACTTATTTGGAGAAAGATTAGTGCTTTAAAATAATATTTCTCTAGTACTGAAGTTTAAGAAACTGAAGACATTTGTTTTCTTAAATGTATTAATATTTTTTTGAAAATACAGCAGAGGAAGGCTGCCATCTGCTTTCTCCTGTGTAGAAGTTGCTGGGGTATGGAACACGTCGGTGGCCGCTAATAATGTTCTTTTGTTGAGCTAAATCAGTGGTTAGCAAACTGTTGGTATTTGGTTCATTTCCACAGGCAAATAAGCTGCAGTGATTGTTAGGCAGGGGTGTTTGTTTATGTTTTCACATTTTCTGGAAACTTACGAATAGTTTATTGGGAGGTGTCTTATGAAAACACATAGAAGTATTACTCTAAAAATTCCATTCTTTTGAAACCATATGACTTGAGTACAGCGTTTATAGATGCTAAAAATATTTTTAATTGTCTCCTGAGATTCATGGGATACATGTGGAAAAGACAAACTTGGTGTTTATAGTCTGACTTGGTTAATTTTCAGTATCCATATCATTCTCCTTTCATAACTTCTTCATGAAAAATGTAATCACGTACAGATTTCTGTTCACTTGCAACACAAAATTAATGTGAATTCCATTTCAGACTAACCACCATCAGAAGTTTCTGGAGTCTGGTTTGTATTTCTTAAGTGCTGCATGTGGATGCCTTGCTCAGCTTTAATTTTTGGAGAAAGACATCTTTTAAAAAATTTTCATCAGATTGTTAAGTTGTGAGTAATGGTGACAATATTTTATCGTATTCTGGCTGACTTAGTGCTCTTCCTTTTTATATCTGTCTCCATGTGTTCCTTTCGGTGTCACTACCCACTGAGTTTCTTTGAAAATAAATTTATTTAGCTTTGGAAGGCAGTCTAGGAGATGAGTGTTTTTCATCGTTTACTTTGCATTGACAGTTTCTGTGTTTGCTCTGGGGAGGCGTTAGTGTTGATTTCAGGGAGAAGGCAAAGTAGAGCAATGGAGAACCACTCACAGCTGATGTCTTAGCAGATGCCTTTAGGATTGTCCTTTAACATACGATTAACTTCTCACAGCTGCGTTTTTAGAAGTGAGAGGATTGTTTTCCGTAATCAGGCCCATGTTTGTGCTGACTTGAGAAAGAGAGGAAACCAGTTATTTTTGATCAGCTTAACCTTGGTGGCAGCTGATCATTGCAGACTGAGAGCTCAGCGAGTTTTCTCGTTAGTGTGTACTGCCTGTGACTGACTTCACCTTTTCAGACTCCCGTTTTAAAAGTTTTTTTTCATTGCTTGTTTTTTCTTTTTCTGAAGCATAGCTATCAATGGTATTATCGTTTTATTTCAGTAATAATGGCTTTAGGACCAAAAAAAAAAAAAAAAAGGCCACACCTCTCCTGTATGCTCCATGGGTAAAGAGGAGAGGACTCTGGAGATCGGCTTGTGTTTTTCTCATCCCCATCCTCCCGTGAATACATGACTTGATTTATCTTGATCAACCTAGTAACTTGCTCCACATTTTTCCAAAAGTGCAAAGCAGTTTCAGCTAAAAATACACATATCAGAAGGCTCCAGAAGTTGTGGCCACAGCTCAAAAATGCTGATCAATTTTGAAAATCTAAATCAGCCTCGGCCATGAAACCGAGGGAAGAACCTTTGTGGTGGGGGACAGATTTCCAAAAACTCACCGCAGTCCTGTTCTTCGCTGGAGTTTGTGCTGATGTTGCCAGACAACTGAGGAATAGATGCAAAAAGCAGGAAGCATTATTGAATTGAGCCCTAGCGCCAATTTGGGAAAAGCAAATTAAAATGTAAAAGAATATTTTTCCACTCCTGGCGTCTCAACATAAAATGGCAAAATACATGGTTGCTGAAAAAGTTACAGAATTTGCTAATTTTGCCAGAAAGTAAAAGCCAATTACCAACTCTTTTTGCTCCAAAAATGCATACACAGATAGCTCAAAGAAAGTTTTTTTTACTTAAATGAAATAGTTGTAATGTACATGTCAAAGTGTGTACCTACATTAAAGTTGACATAGAAGGCTGTGTGGGAGGGGCTTGTTTAAACGTCTTTTGGCATTTTTCAGGTGCCACTTGAAGAATGGATGATGACGATTTCGGTGGTTTTGAGGTATGCACTACTCTTTGCATCTGTTTAAATTTTGTGGGATTACAATAAACTCTTTCTGAAAATGTGTTATTTTGCGATGACATTCATGTTCTTTCCTTGCTCACGTTGACTGTCACCCTGAAATAATAATAATAAAAACAGAAGGAATTACGAAAAGTTAAAAATACCCCCTCTGAAAGCTAAGTGATTTATTGTGGTTGACCATTTGGTCTTGCCCATAGGAATGGTCTAGATTGAGGTGATTAAGTGCTACCAGTGGAAGCAGCAAGGAAGAGAGCTTTCCGAAATTGCCAGCAGATGATTTTCCTGGGATACGTGTCTATTCGGAAATACTTGGGAGATGAGGCCCGTGTATTAAGGATCCTGTCACATATTTGCATGTTTACACCTGTAATGAGTTGATTTAGTATACTGGGTACATAGCAGCGTGGAAACCTAATTAGTGTGTTTGCGTTGTTAAACTATTCTCCCAGGTTTGGGTTGGAGACTTTGTAAGTGGAAATTGTTAGCAGAAGCGGCACTGTCTTTCCCTTAATCCTTTTCAATGTGTGTTCATTTTATTGAAATATTTTATAACCCAGTTATTTTTATGGAGCCAGTATAGTCTTGCAGGAAAATCTCTGGATTAGGAGTCAGGATGCCGAGGCTCAGGGCTTGGCGCTACCATTAAGTGAGCTCGCTGATTTTTTTTTCTTTTTTATTTAATTTTTACGTATGACTTTCAGTGAATTTGGGTTTGGTTAAAAAAAAAGGAATTATAAAAATTAGGGAATGTAATTAATGACCTTAATAGGATAAATAAGATCTTAAAATCTATACTCAGTGCTGTGAATTTCATGAAAGAATGGTGTGACTTGTTTTTAGATAAGGATTGTTTAGGTTAGGACCCCTTTTTGGCAATCTTTAATAATACCTAGCAGTAGGAAAGTGTTTAGAATGTGAATGTACTCTGTGCTAGATCTGAAGCTTATTTAGCACATTTGCATAGTGCCTGCCTTTAAAAAAATACTGAGTTTTTTTGGGTTATTAAATCTTCCTTATGTTGCTGAAATGTGACATTTAAAATTTTTAAAATTTCTTCCATTCTTGGGAAAATATATGCTTCTGACATCATCTGGTCTGGCTTGTTATTTGGGAATAGTCAGCTATTCGAAAGTTACAGTCTAGCGTCATCTCCTTTGTTTAAGCCATGCCCGACGTGTTACACAGAAAAAGGGAGTAGTGTGTGTGGTGCTCGTCAGTGACAGCTGCACCCGCGCGTCAGGCTTTGTGACTCTAGGCCTTTTCGTAGTCCGTGCGCGCAGTGTTCACAAGCACTGTGGTATCACTGTGCTCACGAAGTTTCTTTGCACATTCTGCTGTAGGAGTTTGGGAGCACTGTGTCCTTGGTTAGGTAAAGTGCATCTCTGTTTCAGAGTCAGTGCAGCTGCCATTGTACCCCAGGTCACTTCACACCTTGGCACGCTGTTCTGTTTGATTTCTTAGCTAACAGTGCAACACAGAATCCACATGGAACCCTGGCTCTCATTGTCAATCATCTTTTGACTGTGACCTGCACACTCAAGAGTTGGAAATTTCTGCCTTCTTACCTATAAACTCAGCATTCAGTAATTGTCCCCAATCAAAAGGACCTGTGACCCGAAAATGTCCGCTTTAGCGGTGTTGAGTGTTAGTAAATCCAGCTAGTAGGTTATTCAAGAAGATGAGAGATGAATCATGTTTCTTTAGATTAATGTATTATTAGGTCTGATACTAATGAAAAAGATTTAGTCTCTAGATCTAAAAAAATTACCTATTTTTATTTATTTGAAAAACAGAGAGAGAACGAGAGATTTTCCGTCTGCTAGTTCAGTCCCCAAATGCCTATGGTAGCAAGGACTGAGTCAGGCCAAATCCAGGAGCCCAGAACTCAATGTGGGTCTCTTATGTGGATGGCAGGGACATTAACATTTGAGCCATCACCTGCTGACTCCCAGGGTCTGTGTTATCAAGAAGCTGGAATTGAAAGTGGAATCCAGGGAACTTAACCCCAGGGACTCTGATATTGGAGCTGGGCATTCCAATGTCATCATAACTGTTACACCATAAACCCATACCTGATACCTAGGTTTTCAAGAAAATATTTTTTCATACATAAATGGGAATTGTTGTGGCGAATTAAGTTAGAATACTTAGTTCTAAAGTTCACATGTAGAAATGTAATTACACGTATATAAAGTAAATAATTCATTTACAGATTCAGATTTATGTGAATAAGGAAGGAATATAAAACATTTATGAGACAGAGTGAGTGTGTGTGCGCACACAGGCACCCTCCTAGCTGCTGGTTCACTTTCCAAGTTCTTACAGTGGACAAGACTAGACCAGGTTGAAGCTGGAGCTGGAAGCAATCTGAGTCTCCCACATGGGTAGCGGAAGCCCAGCTGCCTGAACCTCCCAGGGTGTGCGTTCGCAGGAAGCCAGAGGGAGGAACAGAGCCCACCTTAAACCCAGGACTGCACTGTGGAATACGGGAGCCCCAGCTGGCCTGTTAGCCTTGACCAAATGCCCACCTAGGAAAGAACATCTTCCCAGGAGTGGGCAGGCACACTGGGAGTGGTAGACAGTGGCGGGGGTGGTGGCAGTGAAGACTGAGAAGCAGCTGGGTGTTGAGCAGGGATCTGAGTGTGTGGTGTGCTCTGGAATGTAGGCTCCTAGCCTGGGCCACCTGCTTGTTTCTGATGGCATCCCGGCTTCACAGAGCATCTAAAACAGTTTCGTCTTTGTGTTCTAGGCTGCGGAGACATTTGATGATGGCCATGGTGAAGCTCAGGCGACGTCCCCTGCCATCCCGTGGGCTGCCTTTCCCACAGGTATTGGGGAGCAGTAATGGGGAGTTTTCCCCTTCAACAACTTTGTCCTTTTTTTTGAAAGTCTTTCTCACTTTGTCACTTGATCTTCTCTGACCTGAAAAGTGGAATGACCCAGGTTTACTCTTTAGTTTTATCTTTTAATAACATATTATGAGTTGCACAGTCCATTTTGCGAAGAGGCTTGGGGATTGACTAAGAATGATACCATAAATGCCAAATGAAATTAAAGTACCATTTATGCTTTCTAATTTATCTTAGTTTTAGGGAAGTGGGGTGAGAAATGATTCTAGTTGATTGTTCAGTTCATTAATTGAAGTCTGCTTTTTTTGTATTGTAAAAATAATTTATCATCTTCACCAGTATTTAGATTTACAAGTTTTTAAATATTGGAATCATGCAAAAGTATTCCACATTAAAATTAAGTAACTAAGAAATTAAATAAAAATTAAGTTATGTTATTTGGAACTTGATGTTTGTTATTAGTGTAGTTCCTATCTATAGAAATTTTTGAACTTTCTAGACTTCTCTGCGTAATCATCATGTAGTTGGGAGCCGAAGCTGGAAGCTGTAGCAGCTTGTAACAGCTTGGCCTAGTCCTGGGTTGTTAGTTGGTTCTTCAACTCATACTTACTGAGTGTTTATTATTTATTAGGCTACAGAGAACACAGATGAGTCCTTCACTTCAGGAGTAGATGGGGCAGGTGCACGCACGTCTGGAATACAGAGAGCTTTGTTACTTGGGGACAGTGGCAATTTTGTCATCTGTTCATTTGGCAAACATTTATTTCCTGCCTGGTATGAGTCAAGTACTGTCCTTGAAGCCGGTGTGTACTGTTGATCCGGACTAGGAGGATTGCACATGATTTCAGCAGGCAGATATGGGACAGTGGGGGAAAGATTTTGAAGGGAAGGAAAAAATGTATGAACGCAAGGGAGGGATGGCCTGGGTGGAGGCGTGTGTGTGTGTGTGTGGTTTCTTTTGCCTGCAATTGTCCGCATTCCTGTTGTCCCTCTCTGCCGCTACTTCACCACACTTACTTAGGTTTTTTTAATGTGTTGCTGACTGCTTTACTGTTTTTTTTTTTTTTCTGAGACATCTTCCCAGTAAGGTTTCTCACATCTTTACTCTTCATGTATCTGTTGACTTCCGTGTCCATCTATGTTTCGGGGGATTGGGCACTATGTGTGTCCTATGTCTGCATTGCGCATGTGTGTGTGTGTGTGTGAGACAGAGAGAGATGTCTTCATTAACTGGTTCACTCCCTAAATTCCAGCAATAGCATAAACTGTGCCAGACCAAAGTCAGGAGCCCAGGACTCAAACTTGATCTCCCACAAGGATGGCCGGGAGCCAAGTATTTGAGCTTTCATCTGCTACCTCCAAGGGTGCACATTAGCAAAAACTCAATCAGAGACAGAGTTGAGACTCAAACCAGGCCTTCCAGGATGGGATGCAGGCATCCCAACTGGCTTCTTCACCATTGTGTCACAGTCTCCCCACCCCCACTTCCGTATCTTCGAAGCTTAGTGTCTGGTTCGTAGTTGGCCCTCAGTGCACACCAGGAGAATGAATAATTAAGGAAAAAATAAATGGAAGTGAATCAGTAGCTGGATGAATGGATTAGCATGGCAGAGGGAACAGACAGGGAGAGTGGGAATAGTAAGTGACGTTTGTCTCCTCCTAATGGCTTAGGAGGTTTAGTGGCTGTCACGTGCTTGTTTCTTGTAAGGTGGGCAGTTTGACCACTGCTTCCTCTTGCATGGATGATGACAATGATAGTTCAAGAAGATTTTTTGGGGGCTGGCACTGTGGCACAGCAGGTTAACGCCCTGGCCTGAAGCGCCGGCATCCCAAATGGGTGCCAGTTCCAGTCGCGGTTGCTCCTCTTCCAGCCCAGCTCTCTGCTGTGGCCTGGGAAAGCAGTAGAAGATGGCCCAAGTGCTTGGGCTGCTGCACCCACGTGGGAGACCCGGAAGAAGCTCCTGGCTTCGCATTGGTGCAGTTCCGGCTGTTGTGGCCATCTGGGGAGTGAACCATCGGACGGAAGACCTCTCTCTCTGTCTGCCTCTCCTCTCTTTGTGTGTAACTCTGACTTTCAAATAAATAAATATTTATTTATTGCTTATTTATTTATATTTATTTATCTACTGCTTCATTCCTCAAATGGCTGCTTTCTCAGTAGATCAGTTGCTTTCAAAAAAGTGTTGATATGAGTGAAGGAGGAGTCAGCATGGATGGGTGAGGTGTCACGCCCTGGTTCAGAAAGACTGGAAGTTGCTTTGGGACAGCAGGGGACTGTAGTGAACTTATTTTAGCCACGTGGTTTTTAGGTGGCTGGAATTCAGCAGAGCAGCCCGGACTGCAGCTGGTCTGGGAGCATTCCCGTTGGTAATGGCAGCTACAATAGTAGTTGGTCACCAGGAGAAGCGTTGTGTGGACAGCAGATTGACTTCCATGTCCACAGTGAGGGCTCAGGAGGAATCCAGATACAAGTCTGCAAGGGGCAGAGGGCTTGCTTCTGCAATGCTGGAATGAGAAGCAGAAAATTTCCAAGATGCTGCGGTCACTGGTGTCCGAGCCATAGGGAGGTCATTGAGATCGGAAGCTGGGGAAAAATCCCCAGATGGTCAGCAGTGGCTTTTGAGGAATGGTTTCAGTAGATTGGAAGTGGAAGCCAAATTGCACTTTAAAAAAAAATAAAAAACTTTGTGTGAAAGCAGGAACCAAATCCATCTAATAAATCGTGGCAGTGCGCTGAAGACTTGGCTATTGTGGGCAGATTATCCAATTCCTCTTGTTCAGGAGTGAGCATTGTGTGTGACATCTGCGCATGTCTGGGTACTTGAAGGTCATATCCTCCAAGCATGGCCAAATAAGAATGAGAGCATTAACTTTCTCGTGTACACACACACACACACACATACACATACACACACACTCACACTCACACTCTCACTCCCTCCCTCCCTCCTTCCCCTATCAGCATTCGCTTAATTGAACCAGATCAGAAGAGCTCCCTCTGGACTCACGACCTTGTCCTGTGTTAAACGGCATACCTCCCTCTGGCTGTTCAGGTTTGGGAGCCGGACGTTGTTGAGGTGCGAGTGACGGAACAATCCAGTGAGCAAAACAATTTCATCATCTCCACACTCCAGACCACTGGAGGCAGGAACTTTTGAGAGGTCTACGGCAGATCCTTTTCAGTGTAAGACTATTTTCTCCTTTGATTTTTTTTTCCTCCACCTCTAGCTCACTGGTCTACAATGTATATGGACAATCTTTTTTTAAAGATGAGTTGTATCCAAGTTTCACCACAGCTTAAAACCCGAGGCAGTACTTCAGAAACATTTGGTTTAGGTTTTTAAAGTGTTTCGGGGGGCACATAGCCACCTTCATCGTTGGGGTGAGAACGGGCATTTTGTGAAGATGATGTTCGGCTGGAGTGCACAGTGGTCACACAGCTTCCGCACTGGAGCTGGGATGGAGATGTTTTCGTACTGGCCTGGGATGCCTCGTGTGTCTCTCAAAGTGCTTGTTTGTAGCTTGCGGTTCTGCCCGTGCATCTCTGTACGTCGGCACGTCGGCATCATTTACATGGTGAGCCCCTTGAAGATTCTGGCTTGGAAGCTGTGCTGCTGCTGCCGAGATGAGTGAACTGCCAGTCAGAGTAAGTGAGCTGTGCAGGTTGGCTCCTCACATTGACTGTACCCTGTCTGCCATATCCCATTAGGGCGTGGCATCTAACCTGCAAGATGTGTCTGGACATCTCCATGATCCTGGGAATAAGAGTATGGCAGTGAGGAATGAATGTGGAGTTAACAGTCTCCTCTTCTACTGCCTCAACTCACCGTAAGCATGGAAGTAATTACTCTCTGACGAAGAGAGGAGGGCTGTGCAAGAGAAGAATTGTTGAGATTGATGTATATTCCCCCCTTGTGTCGTGGCCTACCCTGTCACGGTGCTGTCCATGGGTGTTCTGTTGCAAGCCCAGGAGCCAAGCTGTGTGGTGTGTTGGAACATGTTTGTTCCCATGCTTTTTGCCATTGTTCCAGGGGCTGGGCCTTAGCCCACCACCCACCTGTTTCCTTGGGTCTTATTTTTATTTGCAAAGGTGCAGAGCTGGAGCTGAGTTTGTTATGTGTCTCATTAACCCCTGCTGTTTCATTTTGGCCCCACTTGGCTTGTGATCTTTTGTTTTTTAAAAAAAAGCTGGGGCAAAAGACGTGCAACATAAACCTTACCATCTTGGCATTTTCCAGTGTGTAATTCAGTGTTGCCTGAGTGTCTTAGAAGGCGGAAGCTCTATACCCATCCACAGCAGCCCAGCATTTTATCCTCTCCGTGGTCCGCAGCCACCATCTGGTAAATTTCTGTCTCAAGGACTTTCTGTCTTCTAGATGCCTCACCTAAGTAGACTCCTAGGGTGTCTGTGTTTCTGTGAGCAGCTTATTTCTTTGAGGATCATGTTCTCAGCATTCATCCTTGTTGTGTGTGTCAGGTTTTCCTTCCTTGTTGAACCGTACTGATAGCCCACGTGCTCGTTGACCCCATTTTGTTAGCTCTTCACCTTTTGGGAGCCACTTGAGTTGCCTCCCTCTCAGGCTGCTGTAAACACAAGTGTCTATGTTGTCTTTGTAGCCCTCAGTGGTCGGCAGGCCTCTTGCCATATCTGCTCCTGTCTAAGCTTTGAAGGTTTTAAGCCTAACCAGACACTGTGCCTCATTAGTAAACAGTGCTTGGTCAGGGGGAACACATTCACTTTCCATCAACTCTTTTTGCTGAGTTTTAATTCTTTGAGGATAATCATCGTTAAGTCGTACGTTAGGAGTAGTAGGAGTAGGCAAAGATAAACTTCCTTCAGAAACACACTGATCTTGGAAATTTCAGAGAAGGGCTGCTTCCTCGCAGGCTCAGTGAACTTTCCCCTTCCTTCTCAGTTCTGACCTGGGACCTGGAAATAATGATGCACAGGAGAACGCAGACATTCTCCAAAGGGAGGA